TGTAAGGATTTAGCAGTTGGGTTCTAGAAACCTTAAGGAAGCTTCCAGATCCTATAAGACAGTGATGCCAAACTCCAGGCCCGGTGGCCGGAGATGCTGGAGATGTTAAATGGGGGTGGAATCTGTCTGGGACACCAATATTTGGAATTCTGTGCTCGAGCAGGGAAGCTGGATTTGATGGCCATGTCCAGCTCTGTGATTCTCTCTTTTGTGAGTGTGGCTTGTAAAGTCACAGCAATACCCTGATGGACATAAAAGCAAATTATTGAGTTCTTCAACACGTGAGCGGGGACTATTGATTTGAATGGCAGTGGCAAGAGTGATACATTGGCTCATTCTGGGTAGGATCCTACAAGAATTTCCTCCAAATTTGGCCAGAATGGTTTTCTCAACATCAGCACAATGTCAACCTCTGCGGCACCAACTGAGGCCTCCATCCGCCTTTTGCCAGTCTCCTGAAGCTGGTTTCTCTCCACTCTCCTGGCTGGTCCTGAATCCACCCCATCAGGCTTTCCTTGGTGGTGATTATTCCAATGTCATCGGATCTGGAATGAGAGCAAGCTGCTTAGATCAGGGGTCTCCAACCTTGGCAACTTTAAGCCTGGAGGACTTCAAGTCCCAGAATCCCCCAGCCAGCTTTGCTGGAGGACTTCAACTCCCTTTGCTTTGCTGACTGGGGAATTCTGGGAGTTGAAGTCCTCCAGGCTTAAAGTTGCTAAGGTTGGAGACCCCTGGTTTAGATGACTCTCTTTGGAATTACCATCCATCCTTTTGGCTGAGCTGCAGAACCTTCAAAGGTGGTCCATGCTACAGAACATAAACCTGTGACACCTTGATTGTCTGGAATGAACCAGGGCTCACTGGTTGCCAAGAGCCTTCTTCGAGAGGTCCAAGTGTTGGCTGTTTTAGGCCCTGAAGCTTGTTTTCTTCCTCAGGACCAAGGCTTATCATCCTCCCCACCCCACCCCCAGGCCTTGCCCTAACACCGGATCGATTGGAGCCCATTACTTCTCCCCTGGACTGCGGCCAGCGACTCCATTACTTGGCATGGAGATGGAAACAACCTCAGCCACCGACCCATCAGTGAGCAGCCTCTTCACCCATGGAGATCTTTTGAGGACTCAACAAAGGAGGGGTGGGTGGAAGGGGGAAGTCACCTAGCTTGATTACTCAGCTCCTTTTTCTTTCCTAATGGTGTCCAGCTCTATCCACATATCTTAAATGAGTGTTTCTCTTCCTCCCTCCCTCTCTGTCTCTCTCCTTCCCTCCCTCTCTTTCTCTCCCCTTCCCCCTCTCTCCCCCTCCTCTCCTTCCTTCCCTCCCTCCCTCTCCCTTTTTCTCCTTCCCTCCCTCCCTCTCTTCCCTCCCTCTCCCTCCCTCCCTCCTTTCGTTCCCTCCCTCCCTCTCCCTCTCTCTCTGTCTGTCTCTGTGTGTGTGTCTCTCTCTCTCCCTCCTTACATCGTTCAGGCCCACAGAGGAAGTCAGCACATAAACCAGAACAAATAACTAAACAGAACAAACTGCTGAAGCTTATCCAACTCAATCGGCCGAGCTTCTTCATCAGGCGGGTTGCATGGAAACATCACGCCTCATCATGTTTCACATTTGCTTAGTGCTGAAGGTCATCTGTGCTCACTCCGGGCTTGTCTCTGGTGATATCCAGCTGGGCAAAGATGTTGATTTTATTTGAGAAGAGACAGAAGCTTTGTTCTGGGCTACCAGAGAAGAAGCCATTCAAGGAGCCACTAGACCATTGTATGGGTCTCTCAATCCTTCCACCAATTGGCTATACCACCAAGCCAGTGGAGAAGAAAGAAGAAATGAAGACTTCCTGCTAGCTTCCCATCAAAGACGAACCAAGTCTGGCTTCTTTTTGCTTTTTCTTGATCAGCCAAAGAAGTGAAGTTCTACCACCTGCAGGGAATCAGGCACTCCATGCAACCTACTTGGTGCTCCAACCTGGCTGCCTGGTCGTACTTAGCTTGCAACCCAGAGAGTTCTCCACCTCTGCCTAATTCATAGCTTGGTCCTCATTCATGGAAATCACATTATGGTCTTGTTAGTCCTTCAGGACGGCTGGTGTTTTTTTTGCGGTGGAGATGTGGTCGATGGGATTCCCAATCCTCCCCTTGATGCGAATGTTCCTCATGAGGGAAGGAATGTGCAAGAGTTAATGCCTGCCCCTTCTCTATTCCGTCAAGCCTGGTGTTAGTAACTGCCTTGTGAATCATACCACTGGGTCAGTTCTATCAATAGCTGTTATTTAGTCTAACTAAATGAAACCTCCATATTTAGAAGGGTTGGATGTCTAAGGCAGCTTATTAGGAGGGCTGTGGCTTCTTGGAGATTGAGAACATAATGATGCAAGAAGATCATTGACCTCTTAGTTCTTTTTTCAGTCTCCTTTGCTTCTTGGCTTCCTTGTTCAGACTAGTTGGATTCTTGCTACATGACAGCCTGGGTGTCATCAGAAATAATTCGGGATCCCCTTCCACAATGTAACTGAATCCCCACCTGCCAAGTCCAGAAATCGTGCCCACTTGGTGAATGCCTGGAAACCCAGCAGATGTTCAGCAAAAATGTGTGGGTTCTTTTCGAAACGGCGGGGAGGGGGGGGAAGGATTGTGGGTCACACAAAATAGTTGGGCAGAGCTTTCCAGGGAGATCTCTCTCTCTCTCTCTCTCTCTCTCTCACACACACACACACACACACAGGAATGGTTTTGTGTAGGATATTCATCTGCACCTGCTCCTTTGCAAAGAACTCTGGGCATTTTGCTGGTTTGGATGTTGATGGGAATGACCATCTCAGGGTTGGTCTGGAAAGAATTGCAACTGCTACCCCCTTAAAAAGAAGAGGCAGAGCCAAAGAGGTCTAACTTTTGCAAAGAGTTTGGTCGTCAAACTCTGGACCAATGAAAAAAGGTTGCCCAAAGAGTGTATAGAAAAAACAACAACCATCTAGTTGGGATGATACTTTAGTCAGTGGTGGTATTCAATTTTTTTTTTAACTACTGGTTCTGTGTGTGTGGCTTGTGGTGTGGCTTGGTGGGCGTGGCAGGGGAAGGATTCTGCCAACTCCCCATTCCCTCCCCACCCCCTAACCTGCTTTCCAGCTCCTTTCTCCTGTGCAAGGCAACCAAAGGAGACCCAGCTGATCAGCTGGGACTCAGGAGGCAGAGAATAGATGGGGTTGGCGGGGCCAGTCAGAGGTGGTATTGGCCGGTTCTCCCAACTACTCAAAACTTCTGCTACCGGTTCTCCAGAACTGGTCAGAACCAGCTGAATACCACCTTTGGTGGGATCTACAGAAGCAGCTTTGGAGTTACACTGTCCATTGCGTGTTGTGGGGCAGAATCTTCCAGACTTCCATCCAGATTGAAGATGAGAACTATGGGGTATGGTCTGGTTCACTGGAAGGCCTACAGACAAGAAAACACGATGGACCATTCTGGTAGAAAGGTGCCTTCAACAGCTTGAATTCATCCTGAAGAAAGAGGCAAACCTTCTACATACAGTCATAAGTTGTGGTGTGTAGGAGAAAAAAAGGCTGAGCTGGAAGGCGGGGTCAAGTGTGTCATCAGTTTGGAGTCATTGCATTGTCACAAAGAACCTAAATGAATTCCATTGATCCATATCTAGCGCCAATTTAGTTGGCTGTTAGTTGACTGGATTCTTATATTAGAGGTAGCAATAATGAACTTTTCTGTGCGTTGAATTGAACGAATGTCCCTGGTTTTTTTGTGCCTGACATGAGGGTCATTAAGTGGCTGACCACGGAACTCTGCAAAATGCCAAGTGCCCAAAATGTGATCGTGTGAATACGGGAAAGGGGAGTGGTCATCAGAACTTTGAAACCTGTGTTATAAGTACCTCCGGGGAGCGTAGAATCAAGCACGGGACACAAAAATAAAACTAATAATCAAGACTCACTGCAATTTTTTTGCAGTGAGAACTGGTCAGCCACTTGTCTGAAATGGGCTAGAATCCTCCTGCTTGAGCAGGGGGTTGGGCTAGAAAACCTCTAAGGTCCCTTCAGTGTCTGTTCTGATGGATTGATAGTTACTTATTCGCTGCGCCCTGGAGGAATTTCCATCTCGAAAACCATGAGAGGGATTCCTACAACACAAAAGGGCGCGTTCTTTCGTTATTTAAATTTACACATTTCGGGAGAAAGGAGGAGAAAGGGTTAATCGAGCATAGGTCAAGATAACAGATGACAGAACCATCAATAGTCCTAATTAGCAAAATTCCAGTTATTTCCCTGCTCATCTACTGTTACTATCCTTAAGAAAGAGTTGTCTTGAAAATGTTTCAGTTGTGTTGCCATGGCAGTTGTGATAAAACGGACTGAGAAGGGAAGATGTCAAGGTTGTGCCAATTAGCATGTAGGCCTTCTATATTTATATCGGGTTAACACACTTCCATTCCTCCAAAGGATTGCTTTTCTTCACATGAGGTCTGTTGAAGTGGGCAACTGTCATAAGTCAAAGACTGAAAGTGTACTTCTAACCTACCTGTAGAATTGATTTTCCTCATAGGGTGGATGTGGGGTCAGATGCTGGTGGCAGCCCTGTGAAAGCTAGATAGGTATGGTAAAGGTGTAAAGTTTCCCCTCGCACATCCGTGCTAGTCGTTTATGGCTCTAGGGGGCGATGCTCATCTCCATTACAAAGCCGAAGAGCCAGTGCTGTCCGAAGACGTCTTCATGGTCATGTGGCCGGCATGACTAAATACCAAAGGTGCACGGAGCGCTGTTATCTTGCCACCAAGGGGGTCCCTATTTTTCTACTTGCATTTTTTACGTGCTTTCGAACTGCTCGGTTGGTAGAAGCTGGAGTAACGGGAGCTCACTCCCTGACGCGGCGCTGGGGATTCGAACCGTCGAACTGCCGACCTTTCTGAACGACAAGCTCAGCGTCTTAGCCACCGAGCGTTCCCTTAGATAGGTATGATCGTAGCCTTTAATTCTGTTTCCCCCCCCTTTTTGTATCTTCCAGGAGATGCAGAAACAAATGTAGAAGTTTCCGTGCCAGATGTGGTAGAAGCTGAAATTGGGGAAACAGCTGTAATCAACTGCGAGTTCTCCCTCCCAGAGAACAGCAGCCTCGCTTACATCAACTGGTTCTCTGTAAGTCACAGGGGGGGGGGGGGCAGCTTTTTGGGGGGGGGGGAGGCAGAATAAATTTTGGCTTCCGTGGGGTTCCACCAAAGGTGGAAATATATGGAGGCTTCTGAGTAACACAAGGCTCTGGGGCAGCTGTGCTATCTTATCTCTGCCTCCTGTTTCTGTGGGTTTATCATTTTATCACTCCGTTTTTTTCCTTTGTCTCTTTTTGCAATCCTAACTTTTGCAAAAATTTTCTGGAGTGTAAAACAGTGTTGGCACCACATTGGTTCCAGAAATAAAGAGCTTTGGGTTGTTGCAAAGTTTTATCTTCGGCTTTTATTGATTTTATTGTCATTTCTTTGATGGTTGTGAGCTGCCCAGAGTCACTCAGGGTCGGGCAGCATCCAAGTTTTTTTTAAAAAAATATTGCTGCTAATTCTGGAAGCAGCAAGCAGGGGAATAAAAAAAGGGACGACTTCTGAGCTGTTCTAAATTGTTTGTTTAAAATAAAAATAAAAATAGCGGGAACTGATCAATTTTAAAGACAGGCTGACTTGTAGAAAACAGCCCCTTGGATCGAGAAGTTCAACAGTGCCCCCGTATGACGATTTATTTAAAATGACTCTGGAAGAAAATTCTAGTTTTATAGAAGCTTCGTTACGCTCAATTTGATTCATTTTGCAAGCTGCCTTCCAAAGAAGGTCAAAATAAATATGTTGGGTGTTTGGTTTTTTTTTTGAAATAGAATTGTTCTGGGTTATAATGCAGTTTTAGGATTAGCGTCTTGTTCAAATGGAATGCAATTATAGGTAGTTCTCAACTTATGAGCACCATTGGAACCAGAGTTTGGGTTGCTAAGCGAGGCAGTTCTAAAGTGAATCAAATGGTGGTTAAGTGAATTCAATTTCCCTTCTTGATGTCAGGATTCCAGCAATCGCTCTAATTAAATATGAGTCTTGAGCCAAACTTCCAAAAACTTCAAAGGATTTATTAGAGGTAACATACTGGCATGACCTGTATGAAGCCAACTCTGGTGTAGGTAATTTACAGTCCTCTGTGACCCTGTTTCCCCCCCCCTTCCTCTCCCCTGGGTGTGTCATAAATCAGATTCTCCAATTGAGCACATCACGGGCTGGGTGTCATCAATCACGTTCTCCAATTAAATATATTCCCAGGCAAAAGCTCTGGTAGCTTTTTAAGATAAGAGTTGGAATGTACTTCAGATTTCAAACTGAGTTGAAACTTGGCTTGTCAGAAGGTTGCAAAGAGTGAACACGAGACCCTGGGATGTGGCAATCCTTGTAAATGCACACCTGTTGCTAAGCATTTTGATTTTGATCACATGACCATGGAGATATTGTGATGGTCATAAGTGCAAGGACCGTTGTAAGTCACTTTTTCCATCCCGGGGTGATTTCAAATGGTCACTAGACAAATGGTTGGACATTGAGAACTTCGTATAGGTGTGTTTGAAAATCCCATGTCAATTTCCCAGCAATGTCATCTAACTTGGCTTGGAAAAAATGCAACTAATTCATCTTGGGGTGGCCCAATATTTCCAACCATGAATGGGGTTGATGCTCTCGCATCTTCTTAGCCGCTCAATCTTGGCTCGGATACAACAGTGTAATTCTTCCCAGCCATCACTGGATGGACTCCAGCTCTTGATTCTTGGGCTTCAGGTGGAGAAGACAATCCCCCAGGAGAATAGGAGTTGGCCTAAAATGGCCCACCTCCAGAGGAGCCTATAGGGTATGATCCAGATGCAGCAAAAATAGTTGGTGCCCATAAAAATCAGAGTGAACCACTATGGTGGTTGATGTCTTGACTGTTTTACCTGTTCTTTGTGGACCCTCTGTGAGTCGTCTCTGTCCTTCTCTGTCCTGAACCCCTCCCCTTTCTTGGACTCTTCAGGGGGAAAAAATCGCACGGAAGAGAATCATCTCCTTGCTCCAAGACAAAGAAGACTGGGAAGAAGACCAGTACAGAGATCATCTGAACATCGCCAAGAATTTCTCCCTCGTCATCAAGAAGGTCACTCCGCAAGATGCCAAGTTCTACATCTGCCAAGTGGGACTCGGCAGTGTCGGCGTTGGTGAGAACCGGACCAAGCTGCAGGTCTCAAGTGAGTGGTCCCAGCCCCACTTAATCCATATCTCAAAGTTTGCAAGGAAGGTCCAAGCAGGGATGAGATTCAGATGGTTTGGACCGGTTTGAGCAAACTGGTTGTTAATTTAACATCTGGTTCGCCGAACCAGTAGTTAAAATGGCTGGCTGGCCCCGCCCACCCCACCGGGCCCCTCCCAGGAGTCTCCATGTGGCCCGTTTTGGATGCCAGGTAAACGCAGGGCCTGCGCGGAGGCTCTGGGAAGGTGAAAAATTGGGCCTCCCGGAAGTTCAGAAATGGGCCTGTTTCCAGCCTCCGGAGCCCGGGGGAGGCCGTTTTTGCTCTCCTGGAGACTTGAGAAAAGCCTCTGGAGCCTGGGGAGGATGAAATCGCCCCCCCCCCCCACCGTGGTGCAGGAGGCCAATTGGGCCACGCCCACCATGGCCACACCCAGCCACCGGGCAGAGAACTGGTTGCTGAAATTTTTGAATCCCAACCCTGGGTCCAAGCGATGGAAAGCATCTTCCTTCAGCCACCCAACCTGACCTCTGCTTTGGTTCTTTTCTCTTCCAGAAGCCCCGGAACCCCCTGAGGTTCAGCTGGCAAAAGATGGATTCCGAGCCGCTGAGCCCACCCTTCAAGAGGTAGGGATCGCTCTGGGGTCACCTGGATGTTACCTTTAGGAGCGCTGCGTGGTGCTTCATCCCCAAATTTGGACCTCTTGTCTGGCCCACCCCCTGCTCCGAAGGCATCCAGCTTCTCTTTGAAAGATGCAAGCGGAGCAGGAAGGAAAGTCAAATTAAAAAAATTAAGGTGATGATTGCGCGATGGCCCACTTTTTCATTCCATTTTTTGTAATGTGGGTGCAAAGCTGCGAAGCCATTCAGGGCTCGCATTTCCTGACGTTCTGCCTTTTTTATTTTTTAATTTCTCACCTGGGAGAGCTACAGTATAAATAAGGGGTTGATATAGGCTGTACGAACTGTATGGAAATCAAATTAGATTTTGATTTGATTTAGATTAGGAATGTCCAACCTCTGCAACTTCAAGACTTGTGGACTTCAGCTCCCAGAATTCCCCAGCCAGCCGTGCTTGGTGGGGAATTCTGGGAACTGAAGCCCACAAGTCTTAAAGTTGCCATGGTTGGACATCCCTGCCTTCTATGATGGTTTGCTAAGGGTAGATTGGCCCAATCTTTTCCACCTTAGCTCTCTAAAGGATGTATCTATCTCCAACTTGGGAATTTGAACCCCGTGCCCATATTAACATCTGAGCTGTTCCCTTCTAAAGAGCTACAAGGACTGATCTTGTCAGTGTTTCTATTATTCAGATAGCAACTTGTACCGCCCGCAACAGCTTTCCAGCTCCAAGCATCGTATGGTACAAGAACAGGGAAGCCCTGCACCCCAAAGATGAAGGTAGGTCCTCCTGTTGATGTTCTTCAAAGGTCACCTCAGATGTTGGAGTCAGAAAAGGGCTCACAACCCCTTTGGGATCGCTTCAGTGTGACCAAACAAACAGCATTCTTGAATTACAACCATGCTTTCTCCATGCTCCATCTCCAGCTTAGTTATCTTGGAACAAGGCTGATTTCATTGCTTTTTCCTTTTTTTATCCGCCGCTCCACCAGAAACAGGGATCCATGCCACAGTCATCACGGAATCCAGCGGGCTGATCACCATCCGCAGCATGCTTTCGGCCCGAGTCGCCAAAGAGGATCGCGAGGCCCAGTTTCATTGCCAAGTCAACTATACCCTGATGGGGACAAACAAGACCGCCGTGTCAGAGAGCTTCCACATCAACGTTTTGTGTAAGTCCGGGCTCCGCAATTGGGTTGGGTTGTGTACGTAGGAGACTGCGGGTGATCACTCTGGCAATTCATGTAGGTAGTCCTCAACTTATAACTACAATAGGGACCACACAGGGTGGGGTTCAAAAATCCCAGCAATCAGTTGGCTGCCCAGTTGCTGGTGGGTGTGGCCATGGTAGGCATGGCCTACTGGAACTTCTGGGAGGGCTGTTTTTCACCTTCCCCAGAGTCCGGAGGCTTCCCTCGGGCTTCTGGGAGAGTGAAAATGGCCTCCCCCAGGCTCTGGAAACCAGAAACAGGCCCGTTTTTGGATTTCTGGAACTTCCCATTTGGCCCATTTTTCGGCCTCTCGGAGCCTCTGCACTGACCCTGCACTTACCTGCGTCCAAAATGGGCCATGTGGAGACTGCTGGGAGGGGAGAGGTGGGGTGGGTGGGGTCAGCCGATCGGTTTAAAAACTGGTTCGGTGAACCGGATGTAAATTTAACATCCGGTTCCCCTGAACCAGCTGAATCTCGTGGTTTTGCTCTGCTTCTCTTGTAGATGCCACCCAAAACCTCAGTTTTACGCTGGACCAATTGAACCAAGAGTTGAAGGAAGGAGACAACGTGACCTTAATCTGTGAAGGTGATGGGAATCCACCTCCTGAATACACTTTATTCAAGACTGAGGTGAGCCTCTTGTCCCAGATCCCATTCCGACTTCCCCATTTATCTTGCTAAACCATGGAATGACTATCTATAAGCAAAGATTGTACGAATGCAGCCTTCCCAGCTCGAGGGAGATGCTTATACCACGGTGGCGCAGTGGTTAGAGTGCAGTACTGCAGGTACTTTTGCTGGCTGCTGGCTGCCTGCAATGTGGCAGTTTGAATCTCACCTGCACACTCGAAGACCAGCTGGCTGGCATGGATGTGTGTACCAGAACCGGAAGAGCAACAGACGACGGCTGGCGTGCCTGGAGAGATGGCTCTGCATGCTACTTCCGGCATGCGTGCCATAGGTTCGCCATCACGGTGATAGAGAGGTTATAGATGGATAGATGAATGGATAGATGGATAGACAGATAGATGGACGGACAGACAGACATGTTAAATTTTTATGCTGTCCATCTCCCTGTCAAGTGACTCTGGGTGGCTTTAAAATGTCATAGAAACAGAGCTTACAAACATTAAATATGAAATAAATAAAAATTAAGTTAAAGCCCAGAATGCTGAGGGGTGAAGGTGGCATCTCCTTCCTTCCTAGTTCACCAACCCCTTCTCTTGTCCCAAACAGGACACCCAGTACTCGCCCCCAGACGGGAAGCTGTTCTTTCCCAGCGTCGTGAGAAACGACAGTGGTCTCTATTGGTGCAAAGCCCTGGATTTGCACACCCTCGATGAACTAATCGCTTCGGTGGATCTGATGGTAAACTGTGAGTTGCTGTCCTGGTGCTTGTTTCTGATTTCATAGGACAGGGACGAAGCGAGTTTCCTGCCAGGAACTTCCAGTTCCAGTTCCAAATTATGCCCCTTCCTTTGCGCAGAGATAAGACCCTGCTGGGATTGCAAGAAGGTTGCTGTCGGCCAGGGGTCCCCAAACTTGGCAACTTTAAGACTTGTGGACTTCGACTCCCAGAATTCTGGGAGTCAAAGTCCACAAGTCTTTTTTTAAAAAAAAATAAACCTTTATTGAAGAATTAAAACATTAAAATACAAAATACAATATGAATATTTAAAATAAAAGCGTTATATATGTTACAATCTATTTTGACAGTGCTTGCATTTCAATTGTTATTCCAGTACATATTTTCTACTCCCATTTGTTCTTATATATACATCTCTATCATTTTTATTATACGTTCCTTATTTATTTATCTATTTATTTCATTTATCCAATGGTGCCAATTTTCCCATACTGTATAATAAACTCTTGTCCTTCTCTTTGAATTCTAATGAAAGTGTCTCCATTTCTGCGCAGTCAAAGATCTTTGGGATAACTAGATCATCTGTCGGCATTGAATCTCCTTTCCAACATTGTGCGAGTGCTAATCTCGCTGCTGTTATTAATATGCAGGTTTAAAAAGAAAAAAGAAATGAAGTCTACAAGTCTTAAAAGTTGCCAAGTTTGGAGACCCCTGTTGTAGGCTGAGAACATTTGCGAAGTCTCTTAACAAAAGATTAGGCTCGGGGTTAAGGCTGTTTCTCTCCTCCAGACCTCGACGTGCCCACCATCTTCTCAGTTGGACCCCAGGAACCAATGGAAGGAGAAGACCTGGTCCTGACCTGCTCCACCACAGGATCCGGACCTTTGAAATACCAGTGGAAGAAGGTACTTTCGGTGGAGGTGGTGCCCAGTGGGGGTGGGTAGACAACTTTGAGGCAAAGGTGGGCCGTAGTTGACATTCATGGGGGGGGGGGGCAAAGGTGATAGTGGGCAGGTCAGGGATGCAAGATAAGGTGAGCTTCACCTTGTGGAAAGACCGGTGGAAGGTAGTGGGTTGGAAAAAGAGAGAGGAAAGAGAGTCAAAATTTTCAGGAGGGGTGGAACTGAAAAAAGCTAAGGAAAGGGGACCACAGGCTGATTTAGTTTTCATTCCAGAAAGGGAAGCACATCGGAGACGGTGCGGTTCTGAACTTGACTTCCATCACCTATGAGAAAATGGGCAATTACACCTGCGTGGTGACAATGCCTGACTTCCCAGGTTGGGTGCGGTCCCGGCACATTGTTATTGCTGTTCGAGGTAGGCACGGTGGGGCACCCGGTAGAGCCCTCGCCCTCTTCTCCCTTGAGCACCCCTAAGACCACCCGGCAGCGCCCAGCATCTGCTCTGTCTCCCCTCGCAGCAAAGCCACAGAAGGTGCCCGTGGAGCAGAATCTGAGCGTCCAGGAAGGGGAGGTGGTGGATTTGACCTGCACCTTCTACTCGGTGCCTCGGATGAACATCTCCTGGAGTGCAAGCAACGGCACGGTAAATAGCACTAGTCCTTAGACTTGTATACCGCTTCACGGTGCTTTGACGGCCCTCTCTGAGCAGTTTACAGAGCCAGCCTCTCGCCCCCCCAACAATCTGGGTCCTCGTTTTAATCGACCTCGGAAAGTGATTGCGTGGGGCACTGCAAATGGCTCTTAATATACGTGAAAAAGATGTTGAGACTCTGCAAAGAGTGCAGAGAAGAGCAACCAGGAGGATTCGGGGACTGGAGGCTAAAATGTATAAAGAACAGTTGCAGGAACTGGGTATGTCTAGTCTGATGAAAAGAAGGACTAGGGCAGACATGATAGCAGTCTTCCAATATCCCAGGGGCTGCCCCAAAGAAGAGGGAGTCAAGCTATTCTCCAAAGCACCAGAAGGCAGGAAAAAAGAAGCAACGGATGGAAAATAATCAAGGACAGAACCAACCTAGAACTAAGGAGAAATTTCCTAACAGTGAGAACAATTAATCAGTGGTACAACTTGCCTCCAGAAGTTGTGAATGCTCCAACACTGGAGGTTTTTTAAGAAGAGGCTGGACAACCATTTGTCTGAAGTGGTGTAAGGTTTCCTGCCTAAGCAGGGGGTCAGACTAGAAGACCTCCAAGGTCCCTTCCAACTCTGTTGTTCTATTATATTCTAAATACAGTCTGGTTGTGGAGTCATCCAAAAAGCAGTCACATGACCATTTGGGGGGGGGGCAGTGACCTCAGAACTTCAAAACTGGGTTGCAAGTCTGTTGAAATTTTGAATGGTCGCTAGGGAACGATCATAAATCAAGGACTATGTCAAACTTGCCTTCTGGGACAGCTGGTCATAATTTCTTGCCTTTTTCCTATTTAAAGATAATAACCATCTCATCCATATTGAATTCCTCTCAACAACACAGGAACCGTTCCATCTTTTTTTTTTGTTTTAAAGGTACATACATCCAGACGGAAATACTACTACAACAGCACTCTCTCGGTGCTGGTCACCAAGGAAATCCTTACATCGGGTCTCAACTGCACTGGTGAAAATGAGTTGGGGTCAGAGAATCAACACTTCCCACTCAGTAAGTGGTTCCCCTCTCTCCCTTGACTCTCCCCTCTGTGAGAAAAACCATTTGCAAACTATTCCCTAATCCAGCTTGTAAGGAATTCATGTTCTGGAACAGTGGTCCCCAATTAGTGGGCTGTGGACCACTGGTGGGCCGCAAGGAAATTTTGGTGGTCCACAGAGAAATGTCCCCCACCCCAAAGCAATTAATCCAGGCTGCGCGGGAACACAAGGCTGCGCCACCCACATGCCCCGCCCACCCGCTGGCCCCCACCCTTCACGTAAACCTTGAGTAGAGCCACGCGAGCTGGAACTGAAAGGTGAGACCAATGCCAGAGGAGGCAAATCCGCCCCGGAGTGGCTTGCTGACGTTGGTGGGAAAGTCGGTCCCATATTCCAGAGCTGCGGTAGTCATCCCGGAGCAGCTCCTCCACCCGGGTGCACTGGCCTACCATGGAGGAGCTGCTCCGGGATGACCAAAGGGCCAGTCCTGCGACTCCTGCAGCTCTGGAATATGGGGCTGACTTCCCCACCACCGTCAGCAAGCCACCATCAGTCAAAATTCATATTAGTGGTCCGTGGGATTTAAAATGATGAGTTTGGTGGTCCCCGAGGTCCAAAAGGTTGGCAATCCCTGTTCTAGAGCCAGGGTGTTCCAACCTTGGCCACTTTAAGACCTGTGGACTTCAATTCCCAGAATTCCCCAACCAGCCATGCCACCTGCCATCATCCATTCTGGCATCATATGTTCTGGCTGGGGAATTCTGGGAGTTGAAGTCCACAAGTCTTAAAAAGTTGCCATGGTTGGACGCTCCTGTTCTAGAGCATGTACAGACTGCTAGAAGCACCTCCAGCTTTCCAAAATAAAATCCAGTTTCAAGAAATGGCTGGAATCTCGCATGAACTCACAAAATTTCAAGAGGTTGGAAAGAAGAAGGACCAGGATACTTTGTTCAGACCCAGATTCGTTCCTGGGTTGTTGTTTTTAATCCCACCTTTTGTGTTATTCCACCCAAAATTTGCAACCTCTCCTTCCTGAATCCATCAAGCAAAAAGGCATTTCCCCAAATGAACTCATTCCTCAGCAAAGGAAATACACCGGCTTGAACTCATGTGCCGAAGCAGAAAAGAAACCCAAAGCAAACAAGGTTCAAAGCAGGGGGTCTCCAACCTTGGCAACTTTTAAGGGTTGCGGACTTCAACTCCCAGAATTCTGGGAATTGAAGTCCACAAGTCTTAAAGTTGTCAAGGTTGGGGACGCCTGGTTCAAAGGGTTTGCAAGTGGGGGCCCTCCGGAGGTCTTGATGGCTCAAAAAGTTGACTCAACGTGTCTTTCCTTCTTTTTAAGGGCTGAAAACCCAAGTCCGTTCCGAAAAACCGGGTAAGTGCTTCCTTGTTAGCCACCATAAAAATAAAATAAAAGCATTGCAGCAGGAACTTCATTTCAGCTGCCTTCTGGGCTTTGGGGGCACCTTCCCTGCTGCAGATGCCCATTTTTGACACTCACAAAAGAGGCCTTTGTGCAGAATTTTGCATGCTGGCTGGCTAATTCTGGGACTTGAAATCCACGTAAGTTGCCGAGGTTGAAGAAACATTGCAGGAAATCCCTCAACCTACAACCATGAAGAATCCTGCCGATCAAGGTCAAAAGTCACGCCCGTTCTAAAAAGAGATCAGGCAGGTGACTGATCTGATTCTGTGACCGTTTTTGAGGCAGTCACTAAGCAAACACCATGGTTACAAAGTGGAGATGGCGTGTGTGATGTTTGTTAAGCGAACCAGGAGTTTGCGGTGGGCCAGTTTTGCCAAAGACTGGAAACCCAGTGCTGGTTTTCGGCGAATCCATTGTTAAGACACAGTTGCACGACTGGGGGACGCTGTAGATGCAGGCCAGTTGCCATGTGCCCATCATGCGGTCACATGTTGAGGTGGGTTGGCTGTCGGAGTGTTGGACCCAGGTCATAAGTATCCCGGGGGGGGGGGGGGGGGGCTGGGGTAATTTTGGATGGTCGTTAAGTGACTTGAGTTGAAGACTTTCTGTACTCTACACCAGCGGTCCCCAAACTTCCAGCTTGGTAGCCTGGCACGAGTGGCTAGCAGATGTGCGCACACAGCTCCATTTGTGAGTGGCACATGCCTACCCTCCACTTATGCGAATGGAACTCCGTGCGCGAGTGGAGGGTGCTTGCAGTCACACGTGAAGCTCCACAGGCAGCTGCGCTCGTGCATGAAGCCCCATTAATCCTGACCTAGTAGTGGGACCCAGTGGTGGGATTCAAATCTTTTTACTACCAGTTCTGTGGGTGTGGCTTGGTGGGCGTGGCAGGGGAAGGGTACCGTAAAATCTCTAGTCAGAGGTGGGATTTGCCGGTTCTCTGAACTACTCCAGATTTCCGCTACCGGTTCTCCAGAACGGGTCAGAACCTGCTGAATGCCACCTCTGGTGTGGGACCCCTGCTCTAGACTCAGAGCCTGATCTCTTCGTGACCCGGCTGGAGTCGATCTATGCCAGTGTTGCAATTGATACAACTTCAATGCCGTGCCACTGGCAAGAATCCCCTCCGGCTGCCTCTTTTGGGGAGGTTCTCCACCCCACCCTGGGACATCTGAGACGGCTTTTCTCCGTGCCGAGCCACCCCAACCCAGAGCTGGTGCAGGAGACCTGAGCAAGGCTCCTTCCCCAAATGCAGCCCCTAGTTCCTACGCCACGCGGAACCCCGCCAAGAGCAGCCATTCCGTTCCATCTCCACCATTTTTTCCAGCAGAGACCCGAGCGCAGGAGAGCAAAGGAGTGATCATTGTAGCCGTCATCGTCTTCCTGCTGGTCTTCGCCGTCCTGGGGGCCGTCCTTTACTTCCTGCACAAGAAAGGCAAGCTGGCTTGCGGGCGCTCCGGCAAACAAGAAATGTAAGTCGGGAGCGTTTCCTGGGACATTCCCCTTTGCCCCTCTGCCCGAGTCCACACACTTCCCAATCTCATTGCACCCAGCAACAGACGTCTTGTGAATGCAGGAGAAAGGGTGGGTGGGTGGGTGGTTGGCTTGATCGGCTTCTGCTCCCCTTGTCACCCGCCCCCTCCCCAAAAGCAGCAATCGGGAACCTCCATCTTCTGCTTCATCCCGAATGGGCTGTGGGGATGGCCTTGGCACAGGAGGGAAAGTCACAGCCTACACAACTCTCATCCAAAAGTGGGAAGCATTTATCAGAGAGAAAAAGGAAAGTAGAGGAATACTTTCAGACTTACAAAAACTGATGATAGCCCTTCAAAGTTGTCCAGACAAGAAGCACCAACCATGCGTACAACCTTTATTGTAAGATTAGTGCAAGAGGATAGCAATAGCACTTATGTACCGCTTCACAGTGCTTTACAGCTCTAAGTGGTTTACACAGTCAGCCTATTGCCCCCCAACAATCTGGGGTCCTCATTTTACCGACCTCAAGAAAGATGGAAGGCTGGGTCAACTCTGAGAATCTTACAAGTCTGAAAGCAAAGCACTTTCCAACCCCTCTTACAGTTTTAATTCCCCCAAAACTAGAGAGGGTCCTTCTGAAATGCTTCCCACCTGTTTCTGCTTCTGTGGACTCGGGTATCTTTTGCACCAGAGTTGTTTGGTCTGCAGCTCTTCCTCCTTCCGTCTCCCGAGGCCGTTCCCACAGGCCTTTACATAACCTAATTCAGCAAAAGTGTCTTGTGGGCCTTTTCCGCCTGGGTTAAGCAGCTCCGCCTTCTCATGCAAGAAACGGGAAGCAGAAACAAAGGTGCCCTTTCCACTCTGACCTGCAGCCCCCTCCCCTTGCATGCCCCCTTCCCCAGAGCCCCATTTGGATCTGTCTCAACACTGTCACACTCCTCCCTCCTCCTCCTCCTCCTCAGCACGAGGCCCGAAGCACATAAAGACGAGATTGTAGTTGAAGTAAAATCAGATAAACTTCCCGAAGAGGCAGGCCTTCTGCAGGGTGCCAACGGTGAGAAGAGATCGCCAGGTGACCAGGTAGGCAGCTCCTGCAACTGGGAGGGGGTTGGTGGGGGTTTTGCTTTCCTGCATTGCCCAACTTTCATGTATCGGGGCGGGCCAACTTTCATCTATCCTCCCTCCAGATCAGTGGCACCCTTTGGGGTGCAGATGGGCTGTCAGCAAACAGTTCCTTCTTAGTGGATGGCGCCCCCTCTTCTCGTCCTTGGCCAAATCAGTGGCCTTCGGATGTCGACTTATTTATTCACTATTACATTTATTTGCCGCCCATCTCGCTAACAAAGCGACTCTGGACAGCTTACCGCATTAAAAGAACATTAAAACCATCCACAATAAAAATTGCTAACCCAATCAAATGACAATACCCATCAAGGTACAATCTTGCCCCATTTATCGAAGAGCCTCAAACACCTAATTTTCCAGTGCAGCTCACTTTAGTTGCATCGAGGCTTGGGTGCTACTGGTCAATTTAATACATATTTAATGCTTCCAGAAGTTGTACAGGCTCCAACACTGTAAGTTTTAAAGAAGCCATTGGACAACCCTTTGTCTGAAATGTTTTAGGGTTTCCTGCCTGAGCAGGGAAAGGTTGGACTAGAAGACCTCCAAGGCCCCCTCCAACTCTGTTATTCTATTCTACTCTACATGTCCATTGCTAAGCAAGGCAATTGAGCTCCCAACTTCAGGACCGTTTTGGCCAGTTTTAAGTGAATCACTGCAGTGGTTAAGTCATTAAGCGAACCCCGCTGGCTTCGCTTGTTGGGATCCAGCTGGGAAAGTCACAAATGATCCTCCAGGACGCTGCAACTGGTGTCAATAGATGCCGATTGCCGTGCCTGAATTTTTATCACAGCTATGATGATGGTTGTGAGCGCGAAAACTGGTTGGAAGTCACTTGCTTCAGCACCGTTGCAACTTCGAAGGGAGCTTAAACGGATGGTTGTTACGGACCATCTATATAGAGCGCAAGTCACTGTTCTCCATCAGCATCTAGCCCAGGTTTTCACAACCTTGGCAACTTTTAAAGCATGTGGACTTCAGCTCCCCAGAATCCCCTGATTCTGTCATGCTAGCTAGGCCGTTCTGGGAGTTGGAAGCCCGCACGTCCTAAAAAGTCACCCAGGTTGAGCAATACTATTCTCACTCGATCTCTGTTTGGGGGCCGCAGTGTTTTTCCCGACCGTCCCATTGACAGACGCCGAGCCTGCAGGCAGGATGTTTCCTGTGCAGCCACAAAATATGTCCTTTCCCCAAAGCCCTACTTTTCTGTAGTCCAGGCACTTCACCCTGGCACCTAGCCTGGTTGAGGTTCCCAGGACAGGTTGAAGAAAAACTCGCTGGCCTTTTTATTTTTTGCAGGGGTGTGTGTGTGGGGGGGGGGGTTCTTTTAGGGTTGTGCATGGGAATCCAGGCCATTTGGTTTCTTTACCCTACAGGGTGCAAATGCAGGTTTGACGTTAGAGCAGGAAACAGGTTAAAGTCCGTCCCGCAGACGTGCCTCACTTCAGCATCTCCCTGGACTGCAGCTTCACTGTTTCTTTTGAACCCAGAGCCGGCTTGGCCCCTTCTCTCCTCTCCTTGGCCAATGAAGGAAGAGCGGGTCGTTTTTTCAAGAGTCCCCAAAATATCCAGCATGTGTTGTTGTTGTTGTTGTTTTTTGGCCCTGCCTTGAAGCTTCTCACTTGCTTTCGTTCACACAACTGCCTCCCTGTGCTAACCACCTAAGAAATGGGTGAATTGGGATTTTTCTTTAAAAAAAAAAATTAAAGGCATGCTTTTCTGGATCCTAACGCAAGATCTTCCTCTCTTGGCTCTCAAAAGGGAGAGAAATACATCGATCTGAGGAACTGAAGAGAGAGAACCGGCCGTTTTCTTCGAGTTTTTCTCCTGCCCCTCCCTCTTAAAACATTCATCCCATACTCCATCATTCAGACACGCAAGTAACCAACATCGCACGGAAAGAAAGCAGTATGGGACACTTTGCAGCCTTGCCTTCTTCTGTCTTTTCAAAGGGGTTATGATTTTTCAAAGAGGACGACAAGGAAAGGTGATTTGAGGCACTGTAATTTCACAACATTTGTGTTAAGAGGAAGGTGGGCCGGCAGATCTGTGCTGTTCTGTGTATGTTGTTGTTTGTGTTTGCATTCCGGGTTTTACAAAAGAAGGGAACAAAAAGGTTTAAGTTGGCACAATTGAATACTGGCCAAGCCAGTCAGTTCTGAATGAAAACTTACTATGCTGTTCTTTTAACGCCCAATTTGTAAGTCTGGAGCACAGGATAATGTGTTAAGAAGCTTGGTTTCCAGTTAAGGATGTAAATTGAAATGTTTGTTTAAAAAGCATGTCCAAGATGGAGAATGGTTGAAGTTGAACCGAAGACGTCGCGTCTCAAAAGTGAAAAAGGAAGAAGCACATTTGAAGTTTTTAAGGACACTCGCTGGGGAATTCGTTCGGTGAATATGTGAAATGTTCTTTCCATGGCTCTTACTTAGGATAGGAATGAGGCAATGCTTTTCAAACTTGGCAACTTTTAAGAACTCTCTTAAAGTTGAAGCCCGCACGTCCTAAAGTCGCCAAGTTTGAAAAATGCCGGAATAAGGGAATTTTTTTTTTGTACAAACTGTACAGTGGCATATTATCAGAAATCTCCAGCTAGTCCCCTCTCCCCTCCAGCTGCAACAAAATCCATGTTCAAGTCCGCAGTTCCTGCCATACCTTTTGCTAAGGCAGCTGGGCGGTGCCCACTTCTCCCTCGGCTCCAGCGAGAGAAAAATGGGGATTGGAGATGCCATTCTTGGGTTTCTGTCCAGCTGAGACCCTTGGAGGAAGATAAATAGGCAGCTGCCACTGCCAGAGACCGAATACCGAAGATGTGTTTAGATGCTCTGGTGTGTTAATGGTCTTCCAATGTCTTAAGAACTTATCCCTCCTTGGAATGGATAAGATCTCTATGTGGACATAAACTCAAGCTTTCTTTTTTCTTTCTTTCTTCTTTCTCCTTCCTTCCTTCCCTTCTCTTCTTTCTTTCTTCCCTTCCTTCTCTTTTTCTTTCTTTCTTCTCCCAGGATCTTCTGGCTGCTGTTTCCTATTTTCACCTTTCAGAAACTTGAGGCTGGGGTATCCAACTAAAGACTTGTGGACTTCAACTTCCAAAATTCCTTGGCCAGGATTCTGGGAATTGAAGTCCACAGGTCTTAAGAGCTGCCAAAGTTGGGACACCCCTACCATACAGTAAATACCTTGCTTTGAAAACACTCCATCGGGTTAAAAGGGTTAACCCCCCAAAAATGTGAGGGGCTGGTGTGCTTTACATGCACGTCGGGAGATGCCAGAATGGAAAAGCTTTTGTTGGAGATATACATATATTTTTCGTTGACATGTGTGTAAATTTAAGAGTGTCTGAGTTGCAGGGTTTTATATATATATAAATATATATAAATATAAATGAAAAATAAAGAAGATAAAGAAGTCGTCAGGAGTGACCTCTTGTATATATGGTGATTGAAAAAGGAACATCTCGGGGAATGATTTTGGTTGTTTTTAAATCAGCCATGCTAAGGGGGGGGGGGGAGCAAGGGGCTTCCTGCTGCACACAGGTCTGTTCTCTAGGAAGGGGGCTTCACTCTCATTATCAAACAATACACACCAGACAAAAAATTGACTTTTTTGTGGGGCCGTCAAGTCTACAAGCAAAGTCTAGACAAGTGTTGTTCAACCTCAGGAACTTTAAGGTGAGTGGACACCAACTCCCAGAATTCCCCAGCCTGCAAAGCTTATGGACTTCAACTCCCAGAATTCCCCAAGCCAGCATGGCTGACTTGAGGAATTCTGGGAGTTGGAAGTCCACAAGTCTTCCTTGTTGACAAGTTTGGAAAGCCCTAATCTAGGTCTAATTTTCATTGATGTGGAACTGCTGGAAAACCCATTCTTGGGAGACCCCCTAAAACTGGGGTGCCCCTACATCTTAGCCCCCTATTCACAAGAATTGACATTGACATCAAACAAGCCGTGTGCTACAACAAAGAAATTTATTTAAAAATAAAACTTTTTGTGTTTTTTTTAATCAACACACATGAATTTCCCTAAAGGCCACCAGCCCTCCCCACCAAGCTCTTCAGTCGGTCCCTTACCAAAATGAAAAATAAATAACATTAGTATAACCTCTAAAACATTAACAATGCATCTGCAAAACAAAACAAAATAAAAACAAAAAACCGAGGACTTTAGCCCAAATGAATCTTAAAGCTCGGCTATTCTGTAAGAATATTTACCTTCTGTTCTTACTCTTTACATGTCTGAAAGGATTAAATACTGCTAATATATTTTTTTATATTAATGATATTATAACTTTAAAATAGTCAGTGAAAATCTGATTCTTTTTTTAAACACCAATATTACATTGGTTCTCAACCTTCAGGAGAAATAAAGCTACTTATTGTTAACCACTCTTTCCTACCCAACAAAGATAATTTATAATTTAGTGTAACCTCTCCCCAGACCGCAGTTTTAATCCTAAACCATGGGAACTCTTGATCGTTGGGTGGGAATGCCATCCAAGATGAATTCCAAAGTTTGCTGCAAGCTATAACCTCCCTCAGTGCAACTGCATGTGAGGCCACACTTATAAGGAAAGAGGTCCACTAGGCACTGAACATTTAATCCACAGGAAACTCCTTGTCCAGCCACACACACACAACACACACACACACAGGAGAAAAATGAATGGAAATGTCCAAGCACAGTGCTCAAAGGCAATGCAAGTACACCATCTCTGCCCCCTTCAGTTGGCCAAAGGCAACAAAATGCCCCCCCCCCAATTGGCCCGAGGCAGGCTCTGGCCCAAGGATGTCCAACTTTGGCAACTTGGAAGTCTTGTGGACTTCAACTCCCAGAATCCCCCAGCCAGCTAGGGAATTCAATTCTAGGAATTGAAATCCACAAGTCTTCAAGTTGTCAAAGTTGGACACTCGGTCCAGACACACCTTGAAGGAGCCAACTGGATTTTGCTTCCGGTAAGACACTTGTTTCATGAAGGAAACCAATGATGGAAGACGTATGCCACAGCTACGTTAAAACTTGTCCAGCAGCACTCCATGACCTTCAGGTACAGCCTGGGGCAGGAAACACTGGCCTTTCATTGTTTAGTAACGAAGAAGCTTTAAGAGAGCTAGTTGTGACTGTTGCTAGCTTGTTGGCCAACTGCTGGCTCCTTCCTTCCAAGCTCCAACACGGCGCACCAGGGCTCTGCAGTCAAGTTTCAAATCTAGTTTCAGATTCATCCTTGGGGAGAACAGCATTTTCCCTATTGAAAAGGCACTATACATTTGGCTTTCTGTAAAATAAATCCAATGCTTTTTGTGTGCGTGCAAAATTAAGAGATAGAAGGAGGAGGGAGGCGGGGTGGATTTAAAGTCGAATATAAAAGCAGCAGGGAAAACAACCCCAAGAAACATTTTTGTCTGTATCTCCCTACTGCTTGCTGGACTGTGACATTCATGGGGTTCCTAAAGAAAGACGCTTCCCCCAAAATACGTCCCATTGAAATTTAAGACAGGGAAAGGAAAGGAACGCATGCAGAGGAACCCGGCCGGCTACACGGCATGGCGGGGCTGGCTCTGCTCTTTCTAATCCATGGCATGGCACCCGCAGGAGAAGAACTGCCTCTCCTTGTGGGCTGATACAATGCCACGATCCCACTTCCAGCAAGGAGTGTCAACACAATTCCCCCGGGATCACACAAACAGCTTCTTCAGTTTTGCAAAGAATTCAAGAAAGGGACTCCTCAACTGACCCAGATTTAGCCATCATCCTGGAGAGAAACAGAAAAGACTTCCACCGATTTTTAAACTTGGGGGGTGGAAGGAAGCAAAGCCACTGCAACTTTAAAAAATAAAGTTCTCCTTGAAGCCAGGGCGTACAATTCCCGTGCTTCTAGGTGCCGTCACCATCTCCTTCGCAGGGCCCTTTCCGCGAGGCCTTCAAGCATCACATATTTTATCTGGAGTCACCTGCAGGCAGGAAGATTGGGCTGGCCTCGTCAACTTCCAATGGGGGTGTGTGTGTGTGGAGAAGAGGGGGTGGGGTTGGAGCCCCCCCCCCCCATGAGGTCTTGGCCATCTGGTTGGTGCCTTCTGCTGCCCATAGAAGACCACTTTGCACCTCCTGAGGAGGAAACATTTATTCCACGGAAACTCTCTTCTCCGGCCTTCTTAGAAACGAAAGCATCCTTAATTAGTGGGGAGGAATTAATGCTATTTAAAACACAGAAGCCAATCGTGCAGGGGACCTCGAGGTGTCCATTTTCATGCCAGGGTAACATGCTCTCGCCCTGCAGGTGGTACAGAAAAACTAGGGAAGCAGATGAGGAAAGAGGAAAAGTGTGGAGGGGAAGGAGAAAGAGAGAGAGAGAGAGAGAAACAGAATCTTTGCTGACTTTTCCCTAGAAAACCAAAACAGCTTCGTCATATCTCTTCCCTGAGTGCCCAGGAAAAGTAACATCAAAAGCTCAAGTCAAGGCGTCGCAAAGGCAGCGTGTTTTATGGACAACGTCCTTCCAACAGACAGACTTTCTTTTGTTCCTGATATAAACAGGCCGGAAAAAAGAAGAGTTGTGGTCTTTTATACTGTTCCACAGACGCCCCGAACCCAAAATGGTTGCATTTCTACTACTGAGCAGGTGAGAGGTTCCAGGGGTTGCTACATAACACTTTTTTTTCCCTGTTAAGTGTCTAAGGGACCATGCTTGTGGTTAACTTTTAATTAGGAGTTTGACAGGTAAACGAGGGGAGGTGGAAGAGCCACACGAGGCTGCTAAAATGGGCAGCTCCGTTCATCATCACATCAGGAATGTTCACGGAGACGGCTGCTATGGCCCAACCCGGCCCGGGGAACTTCGAAGGAGAAAAGGCTGGAGGCTGCTAAGGTAGCCCAGACACCCGCCCGGACACCTTCCCCGGAGAGCTGTCAGCATCTACCACGCTGTGGAATCCAGTGTGTGGCGGAGCGGAGCGGCTGACTTCCGAAGGCGCACTGAACACGACGGGAGAAAGAGAAGGGTTGGCAGAGGGAAAAAGTAGGCGTTGAAACCTCCGGCTTCGTCAAGAATCTGTACCTGACGGCGGAGGATTTGGGAAGCCTGAGCCAAAACATACAGCAGCAAGGAGGCCTGCGTGCAGTATCCCAAACCACCAGGGATTGGGGGGGGGGGGGAGATACCTTCAGCATCTTGGCCTCCGGTTGGATATTCACAGCACGAGACAAGTTGACCAAACCCTTCCCCGTATTCTAACGGCAAAGGAAACCGGTGACCGGTCTATCCAGAGTTCTCTCCAATCAGAAAAGTGCAAGGAGGGGGAAGGTGGGGCTGGGGAGGTGTTGGATGGGCGGGCAAAGGTACATGAAGACTGTTGGAGACACACACCTATCTGCTCCGTTTCACGCCACTCGGGGGGAAAAGAACACCTGGACTCGCACAAAAACCCTGATGACCGAATCTCAGCAGAGATGGGCCTGGCTCTGCAGGGGAATCCCTCCAGAAGCCTCTGCTCAACTCCAGGCCGGTGCGGGCAAGAGGCTGCCCGGGTAGGTGGACCCACGGGGCTCCAGGTAGGGCCAAGAGAGAGGAGGAGGGGGGCGTGCTATGTGGCCACGTGCGTGGGGGAGGAAACGGAGACAAACTCCCGGAGGATATTCTTGGCCATGTCAATGTTGTTGTGGGCGATGAGCAGGGCTTTCTGGATGTCCTGATATGCGTAGCCTTGGCTCAGGAGGTTCTCGATCTCGGAGGAGAGCTGCGGGGAGGCCACGGGGACCGGTCCTGCTCCGCTGGCCTGCAGGCAGCCGCTACCCGCCTTCCGTTCAGAGTTTATTCTCCGGGGCAAAGGTTTCGGGGGCCTCTCGGGAACCTGGGAGACGTCCGAGGCATCTGCAAGGGAAAGCAGCACGTGGCTGAGAGGAAGGGATTTGGGAAGCGCCCCTGGTGGGCTGGTCTACCAGCTGCCTTCCTTGATGGGGATGCTCCTTTCTGGCCATTAAGCTTCAGATTTTCCAAAGCACCAGAAGGCAAGACAAGAAACAATGGATGGAAGCTAATGAAGGAGAGAAGCAACCTGGAATGAAGGAGAAACTGCTGGACAGTGAGGACAATCAAACCGGTGGAATGTCTTTTTCTTCAGACGTTGTGGGTGCTTCATCACTGGAGGTTTTTGTCTGAAATGGTATCAGGTCTCTTTCTTGAGCCTGGGGTTGGACTAGAAGACCTCCAAGGTCCCTTCCTGTTCCATTTTTATTAATTAGATCGTCCCCAAAAGGTGTTTTTTTGTCAAGAGGCAACTGGACTTTTCTTCTTTGGTTTTTCTTTGAAGATGTTTAACTTCTCATCCAAGAAGCTTCTTCAAAGAAAAACTTGAAAGTCCAGTTGCCTCTTGAAAAAAAAAGCACCTTTGGGAACACCCAGGACCTGGAGGACGGAGAATCAGTCCATCAATAAAAGGGATACAGACAATTCATGAGACGGAACAGGTTCATAGTCCTGGCACTCTAGTCCGGCCTAGCTCGAAGGGCTGACCTCATGGCACTCAGGAGCTTCTCCTTGCAAAAGGCCTCCTGAGCAGCGCCTGAGGAAGGGAGAGGAAGTGAAACTCCTCAAAATTATCCTGCCTGCCAATTCCTCCCCTTCCTGAAAGCCCAGGGTAGGAAAAGCGCAGGAGGGACTTGAAGTCAGGGGTCGTGGATCACCTGATCGCTGGGGCTTCCCAATCAAAATCCGGGATTTTGGCTCGTCGTTTTGTCGAGGACAGATACGGTCAGCTCTGCCACCGTTCTCAACCTTTCGCGCCCTCCTTTTGTGGGTCCTGGCACCCTGAGCAATGCAGGGCCATTTCCTAGAGGCACCCACCCCCACCCACCCCGCCCAAGGAGGCGCGGGAAAGCACCTGTTAGAAGTTCGCCGTCCAGAGAGGCCCGGCTGAAGGAAGTGGCTGCATTGGAGATATCGGACAGAGTGCGGCGAGTGGTGGCGGCGGCGGCGGGCTGGGCGGACGAGTGGGGGACATCGTAACCGTCTTCCTCGTTCTCCGACTCCTCGGGACCGTTGGGGACGTCGTCCTCAGCTACCATATCACCTACGTCTGAGAAGGAGGAAGCCTTTTCAGCGCCCCTTTAGGCCTCTGGCCTGCAGGAGAGGGCGCGTTTTCAAGAGGAACGCAGACAGCCTAAGCCAGGGGTCTGCAAGCCACATGTGGCTCTTTCGGCCCTCTGCTGTGGCTCCCTGTTGGCTGATCCCACCCCTGGTTGGGCCCTCCCCTCCATATTCCAGAGCAGGTGGTGACTGGGTGGGAACGAGTGAGGTCGAGTTGGTCACGGCCACCTGGTCCCACCGGTTGTTAAATTATTGGCTCCCGGGGATTTTCTTTTCTGTGGGAAACCAGTCCAAATGGCTCTTTGTTCAAGGTTGCAGACCCCTGGCGTAAGCCTCAAAGCTGAACCAAAGGCACAGAAATTACAAATTGTGATGCATAACACATATAAAAGCCATTTTGCGATCTGACAATGGCCTAGGCCAGGGGTCTCCAACCTCGGCAACTTTAAGACTTGTGGACTTTAACTCCCAGAGTTCCTCAGCCAGCAAAGCTTGTTGAAATCCACAAGTCTTAAAGTTGTCAAGGTTGGAGACCCCTGGCCTAGGCACTAGTATTCAAACGCAGAGGTTTTTTTTAAGATAGATAGATAGATAGATAGATAGATAGATAGATAGATAGATAGATA